CGCAATTGAATTTCCAGTTTTTACGGAATAGTCGACCAGAGACAACCGTTACTTTACCTCGTTTTCAGCAGTTTTTCGTTAAACTCGTTTCAAAAAAGTTGATAGTCTATTCAAGGAACTGCAGAGTATTGGAGAGACTTCGATCTCCGACCAGAGTAGGAAACGTTACTTAAGAGGCAAGAATACAAAACAATTTTTACTATGAGTTGCTTAAGAATTTCAGTTCATTGACCAATGATGTGGCATTAAAATCTGCCGTCATGTTGCAAATAGCGCGCCGACAGGCTATAAAGAAAATCTCGGAATCTCATACAGTTAATGCTTGGGTATATAATTTGCGTAGTCGATCGGTACATCTGAAAGATGGAGACACCGTATTCGCTCGCAGTTTCGCTCAAAGCAATGCGGTGAAACAGTTCAATAGCAAGTTAGCCCCTGTGTTCAGATATCATCCCGACCTATTATGAGTTAGAGAATGAATACAAGAAATCATTGGACGTATAACATTTAAAGGACGTAAGGACGTGATATTTTCGAGAGATAATTCACAGTGCCCTTTTTCACTTAACCCCTCGGCGAGATGTTACTCTGGCTGAGTTAACTGTGGTGGTGGGGGCCAGAATTTATAGGAAAATAAATTTGAACGAATTTAGCGATATATACAGTGGCAGACTAAAGTCTACATACGACCCTTATTATTGGAGTTTAGCCAGCTCTGTAGATTTTCCAGTAAAATTAATGATGCAGTCTTGTTTTAAATTTAATTATAAGACAAAAAGCAAAATATCGCCTTTATTCACCAATAACCTACGAAGTTATTAACCAAAGACTGAAAAAGGGCACTGACAAAAGTGAACATACGTTTTGTAAGACAGCTGTTCCTGGTATTCCTTTTAGCGTCCGTCCAAAAAAGCTTTCCCGAAGAGACATCTCCTTCATCCGCAGTGAAGTTGGCCAAAACCCTAAGATACATGCTACTAATTTGGTCCAGGAACTAGCTGACAGATCCAAAATTAATGTGCACCCACGCACAATAACAAGGGCTCTAAACAATGAAGGATTCCGCAGCAGAACTCCTCGCAAGAAACCTCTCATAAGTTAGAAAAGTCGTGGCCTTCGTTTGGAGTTCGCAAAAGAGCATTTAAAGGTTTATTTAACGATTATGAGTTCTGGAAAAAGGTTTGGTTTACTAATGAGTCCAAATACAACATCTTTGGATATGATGGCAGAGCCAAGGTTTGGAGGAAAACCAACACTGCAATGGATCCCAAGCACCTCATTCCAACAGTAAAGCATGGCGGCCGTAAGGCCATATTGAAAAAACAATTTGAAATCATCGGTGGACAAACTATGCTTTGACCCAAGCTGGATCTTCCAACAGGACAATGATCCTAATCATACTGCGAAGATAGTGAAGGATTGGCTGCTGTATTATGTCCCCCGGCAATTATATTCACCACCGCAAAGTCCGGATTTGAATATAATAGACCACATTTGGGAAATTTTGGAACGAAAAATTCGAAAACAACCTATAAGTAGCGCAGAGGGTATAATAATTTCAGTCAGAAGTTTGCAACGCAGTGAAGGAGACATCTCCGACCCTATAAAGTATATATATTCTTGATCAGCATCACTAGACGAGTCGATCTAGCCATGTCCGTCTGCCCGTCCGCCTGTCCGTCTGTTTCTACGCAAACCAGTCTCTCGGTTTTAAAGCTATCTGCATGAAACTTTCCCAAAAGTTGTCTTTCTATTGCAGGTAGTATATAAGTCGGATGGAGCCGGATCGGACGACTGTAGCATATAGCTCCCATAGGAACAATTGGAAAAATAAATTTAAAAAAATTATAACTTTGGTGTTTTTCAATTCTTTTTTAGTTCTTCGAGATATAGTAATGGTTAAATATTTCAGAATTACGGTTAAAACTTAATCAAAATCGCACGACTATAGCATCTAGCTCCCATAGGAACAATCATAAAAATAAATTAAAAAAAATTATAACTTTGGTGTTTTTTTTAATTTTTTTTTAGTTCTTCGAGATATAGTAATGGTTAAATATTTCAGAATTACGTTTTAAATTCAATCAAAATCGGACGAGTATAGCATATAGCTCCCATAGGAACAATCATAAAAAAAAAAAAAAAAAAAAAATTATAACACTGCAATGGCTCCCAAGCACCTCATTCCAACAGTAAAGCATGGCGGCGGTAAGACCATATTGGAAAACAATTTGAAATCATCGGTGGACAAACTATGCTTTGGCCCAAGCTGGATCTTCCAACAGGACAATGATCCTAAGCATACTGCGAAGATAGTGAAGGATTGGCTGCTGTATTATGCCCCCCGGCAATTATATTCGCCACCGCAAAGTCCGGATTTGAATATGATAGAGCACGTTTGGGAAATTTTGGAACGAATAATTCGAAAACAACCTACCAACCGCTCCAATGCTGCGAGATAAACTTCAAGAGGATTGGCAAAAAATGACAGGAGCAGAGATGGAAAATTAAGCTTTTTCAATGCCCAGTCGATTGCAAACAGTAATAGATGCAGGTGGTGGCCCAACTAAATATTAACTTTAATACAAATATCAATATTACTACATAGAAGCGGTTAGTAACAGATCGTATGCTCACTTTTGTCAGTGTCTTTTTTCAGTTTTTATACCCTTGCAGAGGGTAGACGAGTCGATCTAGCCATGTCCGTCTGTCCGTCCGTTTGTCCGTCCGTCTGTCCGTCCATCTGTCCGTCTGTCAGTCTGTCCGTCTGTCCGTCCGTTTCTACGCAAACCAGTCTCTCGGTTTTAAAGCTAGCTGCATAAAACTTTCCCAAAAGTTGTCTTTCTATTGCAGGTAGTATATAAGTCTAAACGAGCCGGATCGGACGACTATAGCATATAACTCTTATAGTAACAATCGGAAAAATAAATTTAAAAAATGTATAACTTTGGTGTTTTTTAATTTTATTTTAGTTCTTCGAGATTTAGTAATGGTTAAATATTTCAGAATTACGGTTTAAATTTCATCAAAATCGGACAACTATAGTATATAGTTCCCATAGGAACAATCGTATAGCTGCCATGGGAACTATCAAATAATTAAGGTGCAAATCATCATAGCTTCAATGACTTTAAACATACACGCCAGTAAATCATAATTATAACGTTTTCAAGAGTATTTAGTTTTTGAAATAGCTGCAAGGGTATATGAACTTCGGCTTGCCGAAGTTTGCTTCCTCTCTTGTTCTTATTGAATTCTTTATTTTATTACTCTTTATAGGCAAATGGTTCCAAACCGCCAATAAATATTATAAGAAAACAGACAAAAAAGGAAAACAAATAAATAATTTAAATTTAAAATTAGTGTTTAAGGTTCCTATATTTCATAATGCAAAACATGTCACTGTGAGTTCGACATTTAATCTTATTTTATCATCTTGAACATATGTTTTTATTTTAATTTTTATTCCTAAGTATGTTGTTAATTTTTGAGTAAAATAAATATTAATTTTAAAAAGTGTAAAAATTTATATTTTTCAGTTCTTACTTTTTGTGCCTTTTCTGAGGGTTTTCTATGCTTCCATCGTAGGGTGAAAGCACTTATTTCTGTGTCAGAATAGAGTCAGATCGGACTCAGAAATCTGCCTCTTAAAGTGCGACCGTTTTCAAAGAAAAAAACACTCTTTCCGGACACTTTTTTGCACACTTTATGACTGTAAATGCTCAGAAAAAAGCATCAGAAAACCGTCAGAAAACGCTCAAATTGCTTGCTGGGTAGTTGAAGATGCGCTCCGACCTTTCTGCCGCTTGACGGCTTCACAATTCTCTTGTACTGGAAATCATCGTTTGATGAAACTTAAACCGTTATTCTGAAATATATGTCAAGCAACTAAAAAAAAAAATTAAAAAACAGCAAAGTTATAATTTATTTTTATTTATTTCAGACGGACATGGCTAGATCGACTCTCCTAGTGATGCTGATCAAGACTATATAAACTTGGGTCGGAAATGTATCCTTCACTGCGTTGCAAACTTCTGACTGAATTTATAATACCCTCTGCAAGGGTATAAATTTAAAAAACAAAAAGTTATAATTTTTTATTTTTGTTTTTCCGATTGTTCCTATGCTAAAGTCGTCCGATCCGGCTCGTTCCGACTTTAGTACTACCTGCAATAAAAAGACAACTTTTGGAAAAGTTTCATGCAGATAGATTTAAAACTAAGAGTCTAGTTTGCCTAGAAACGCACGGACAGACAGACGGACATACAGACGGACTTGGCTAGATCGACTTTCCTAGTGACACTGATCAAGAATATGCATACTTTTTAGGGTCGGACAAATTTCTCCTTCACTGCGTTGCAAACTTCTGACTGAAATTATGATACCCTCTGCAATGGTATACAAACATTTTTATTTAGCTCATTTAGTGTGGCATGTTTATTTTATAGAAATAGTTGTCCGACTATGCGATGGAGCCAATGTATAGTAACGGCTTATTATTTCAGAACTACGGTTTAAATTTTATTAAAATCGGACGGCTATATCATATAACTCAAATGGGAACAATACTGGCGTTAAATGAAAATATTGATGTGATTTATACCCCGAAAATAAAATAGAAAGATATTCATTAAAGTAAGTAACGTTATTTGAACTCTTTTTTCTTAAATATAAAATGTTTATTTTTTACAATAATTAAACCCCACATATATTCCTTTTTATTGTAGTGTAGGTGCATTCGGCCGTGTATTAAAATCAAAGGCAATATTCTAAAACCAAGCGCGATTACCTTTGATTTATTTTCTAAGTGTACGTTACAGATTAGCCACTTCGGCTACTGCGCTGTGAGCACTGCAAATCACTCAAAAATCACTCGAGTGAACCACTCGAGAGAGCCAGCCGATTAGCACTTAAGCGAGAGCGAGGCGCCGATGCCGGCACCCAACCCTCACTCTCTCCATATACGGACCACAAATGAGTCGATGACGCCGACGCCTCTGGTAGTTGAACTACACGCGTCGCTGCGTGCGGCCTGAAAAAACGAGAGCTGGTGGTCGCGATCGAAAATCGTAAATTAGCTGAGAGTGTAGTGTAAAGTGTAGTTTAAATCAGGGTAATTTCTCAGCCTCAAACAAGAGAAGGCAAAGAGATTGATGGGATGATAAATAAATAAGCAGCTGAAAATCCTACTCCCTCAACTGTAAACATCGCAAGTCAATTTATACTGTTTATATAAGTAGGTAACAACAACCAATCGCTGGTACTAGAAAGCGAACGTCGGGCAGAATAGACTGATAACACAGCCCAACAAAATATATCTTTTAGTTTTAACCATTTTTTTGTCCTATATTTAGTTACTAATGCTTCGAAATTTGCTGAAAAAATAAAACTCAATCAAAAGGTGACAACGAAATTTAAAAGACTACAATTATTTAAAAATAGAGAAAATTGAAATAGTACGCAACTTAAAGTTTATTTTAAAAAACAAGAAAGGAAGCAAACTTCGGTAAGCCGAAGTTCATATACCCTTTCAGCTATTTCAAAAACTAAATACTCTTGAAAACGTTAAAATTATGATTTACTTGCGTGTATGTTTAAAAACATTGAAGCTATGATGATTTGCAGCTTAATTATTCGATAGTTGTTATGGCAGCTATACGATTGTCCCTATGGGAGCTATATGCTATAGTCGTTCGATCCGGCTCGTTCCGACTTATATACTACCTGCAATAGAAAGACAACTTTTGGGAAAGTTTCATGCAGATAGCTTTAAAACTGAGAGACTAGTTTGCATAGAAACGGACGGACAGACGGACATGGCTAGATCGACTCTCCTAGTGATGCTGATCAAGAATATATATACTATATAGGGTTGAGAATGTGTCCTTCACTGCTTTGCAAACTTCTGACTGAAATTATAATACCCTCTACAACGGTATAAAAAATAACCGCGTTTTTTTATAAAAAAAAATTTAAAAAACTGTTCGTGATAACGTACTGATTTGTGTGAAGAAGTAATGTTCAAATATTCAAAAGGATCGTTTGAGTAGATTTTGAGTTCCGATGTTCACAAACTTCAAAAAAGACGTTTTCGGGAAAATCGATTTAAGGTTTTTTATACGTGAACAATCTGGTAACACTGCCTACTAGAGATGGAAAATAATCGATGTTTCCCTACATCGATGTATCGATGCATCGAATTATTTTAAGGTGTTTTTGAAAAAATGTATTTTTCTCCATCACATATTATTAATCAATACCATAAATAAATCAAATTTGTAAAAGGTCTTGATAAATAATGAGGCTTTATTTGAGATCCATATACTCAGCTTATATTTCTTCTCTTTCCTTCAAAAATCAAAATAAAAACTAAATCACAATTCAATGAAAATTACAATAAAAAATAATATCGAGTTCTACTCAAAAGAATAAGAAAATAACTTAACTTAAGAAATCCAGTCATTTTTGTTTAAAAATAATAACATATTGACGTTTTTAGCCTTAAGCGAGCTTCGCTTTTCGCTGATAATAAGCCCGGCCTTACTGAACATCCTCTCGCTTTCAGTAGAGGTGGCCGGAACGCAGAAGTATTTAAAAACGCATGTTTACTTGGGACCGTACTGTCGCTTTCTTCCTCTTGACAGGCAACTATATTGGACAAAAGTTACATTACAAATCATATGATTGTAAATAATAGCTCTAATTACCATTGTTATTCTGCTCTTTCAAAGCCTTCTCCATTTCTGAGCGCCGCCAAAACCAATATCAAACTTTCGGAATCAGACTGTAATCTATAATTTATTTACTTAAGTTTCTTACAAAAAACGTGCTCAGCTTACCAAGATTTTTTCCTGCCAAGTAGTGATGGGTAAAGAGGAAACATCGAACATCGATGTTTTGAAACCTCGATGTTTCCCGATTTTCGAAAAACATCGATGTATCGATACATCGCCTATGTTTTTTCCAGCTCTACTGCCTACCGTTTGAGACGCTGTATCTCCGTTAGTTTTGCTCGGATTGATTTAAAATTTGTACAGAATATTCTCATCATATTGTCGATTCAGAAAAAGAATGAAAAAAAACAAGAAAGGAAGCAAACTTCGGCAAGCCGAAGTTTATATACCCTTGCAGATATTGGAGAAATTAAATATCCTTAAAAACATTAAAATTATCATTTATTTGCATATATGTTTAAAATCATTAAAGATTTGATGATTTGCAGCTTAACCATTCGATAGTTCCTGTGGCAGCTATATGATATCGTTTTCCGGCTTAAATAAAATTAAAAGCGTAATTCTAAACTGTCAAATTATTAATAAATCAAAAAGAATATTTAAAAAAATTATAAAATAGAAAAGTTACATTAAAAAAAAAATTTGATATATGTATTTTTTATTGATTCCATGGGAGCTATATGATATAGTCGTCCGATTTTGATGAAATTTAAACCGTTATTCTGAAATATTTAACCATTACTATATGTCGAAGAATTAAAAAGAAATTAAAAAACACGAATGTTATAATTTTTTTTATTTTTTTTCCGTTTGTTCCTATGGGAGGTTTATGATACAGTCATTCGATTTTGATGAAATTTAAACCGTAATTCTAAAATATTTAACCATTACTATAGGTCAAAGAACTAAAAAAAATTAATGCAGATACCTTTAAAACTGAGAGACTAGTTTGCGTAGAAACGAACAGACAGACGGACATGGCTAGATCGACTGGTGATGATAAAGAATATATATACTTTATAGGGTCAGAAATGTCTCGACTAGTTAATAAAATTCTTTAAGTTATTAATTTGCTGGGGCTTTGACAACTCTAATAGGAAACGTGAAGCTTATCGCAACTCAAGGGCCCCAAGGCAGCAAAACAATAAACGCGTGCGGCCTAACATAAAACAAAACTTATGATAAAAAACATACAACAAATGCGTAAGCAACCTAGCCGCACTACACATATATGAGCAGGGAAATGTTCGCTGATAAGAATTTAAACACAATATAAGATTTGAGTCGTGCAGTTGTATTATTTGGAGCAGTTTGAATGTAGAGTTGTTTGACTTTACCATACATTTGTACATAATTTTTTCGACTGACATACCATTAATGCACTGCGATTAGAATTCTCAGCGGACTACGATTATTCCATTAAACATTACTGACGTAGCAAAGAACTCCCGTGGTCATACACCCAGAGAAAAATGGCATACTAAAATAAATAAATATTAATTATTATCATTTTATTATATTTATTAATGCTTAGAATCAGTCACTTTAATTTTAGTCTGCTTATCATAATGGTGTGTCTTTGTTTCATTAATATTTGTAGACAACGTGCGCAGCTTATATTTCAATTAAATAATTTAAAATGAGTCACAGCAATAACATAAACTTAAGACCCAATCGATCAGATAGCCATGAGCTGTTAAGGGTTCTCGGAAATAAGAGAACTATTCTTAATATGTGTCGTTTTGAATTTTGATACCTCTTTATCAACCCTCGATTTTATATGTGTGCCTGAAACATGGTTTATTTCCAAATTTTTATGATGTCTTAGTTGAATGTGATGGTTATAATTTGTATCGCTCTGGTCATGGTCAATATATGTGAGTAAAAAGTTAATTTACACGTTTGTTTGTAAACATTCAACTTGTCGTGCAATTAAATACTTGTTTGTAGAAATAAGATGCCAAAGGAATGCTGATGAACTGCTAATTGAATGTATATACCGACCTAATTGTCGGATTAACCATAACCAATTTTTAAATATTTTCCCTGACGTGCCAATAATAATAATTTTAATAGCGATATTTTAAGGACAGAGGACATGAAATCGCTGGGGATGAAGTTGGTTAACTCCGTGTCCCCTACGCATTTTACCAAAACCCGCAACTCGCTTTTAGATTTATTTTTTGTGTCTTAAACAGACAGAGTAGCTACATATGACGAACTTAATGCCCAATCCTTTTCATCCTTGACCTACAATACCTTGACAATACAACAGTTTTTAGGGACTTCAAAAATATCAACTGTGACCTTTTGGACTGAGCCTTTAATTCGTGCAATTGGAATAACATATATTCCCTTTCCGGAGTTAAGGAACAAGTTAACCTTTTACAACACAACATTTGTTATTTATAAACCTGTCTCGTACCTGTCCGTCATAAAGTTATTCGTTCTTCTGAAAAACAATGGTTTTATAGAAACATTAAAGATGCAACATTCAGCGTCACGGGGCGTACAATAAGTGGAAAAAGTACAGGAGATGTGAAGCTTACGCGGTGTTTTTGAGACAAAAAGCTATCCAACTTACTGATACCGCCAAGATAAATTTCTATTCCCGTCAATTCAATAACGCACCTTCCACTACTCATACATGGAAAATTATATAAAACTTGGGAATATGCAAACTTAACCCAAGAACTGCACAAGACATATGTAAATGTTAATGATAATAAACTGCACAGTACCTGAAATCACTGAAAATAAAACAGTCTGTGTGTTAGCAGGTGTAATGTTCTTCAGAGTATACAATGAATTTAGAGTGAAGCCACTGGGTTTGGCAACATAAATTGCAAATTTTAAAAAGTACTGCTGCCATACATAACGTAACAACTAAAAACTAAGTAACTAAGTAAAAACTAAACGCCAAAAATACTTCCGATTCACAAACCAAATATTTGAGTACAGACCCATCTCCATTTTCCACTCCTATCAAAGGTATTTGAAAATCTCATGGCTTATCAATTCAATAAATTTATGACCGACAATGCAATGCTTAAAATTAATCAGTCTAGTTTTAGGAAAAAAAAGCTGTACCTCAGCCATTTTAAAATTTTCAGACGAACTAAGGGAACAAATAGACGGAAATAATGTTATACGTTTAGTTTTACTGGCTTTTTAAAGTCTTCGAAGTAAACCATAATGTCTTTTGTGTAAACTTCGTAGATGTTTATGTTTTCTAAAACTTCTTGTCTTCGTACCTTCAAAACCATCGTCAATCTGTTGTACTGTATAGCGTTTCATCTTCATTTGATTTGGTCCTCTATTGCTTAAATTATATGTATGTTAATGACTTCCCAATGCGTTATCTAAATTTTTTTTACACTTGTATGCTGATGATGTCCAAATTTATGCGAGTCGTCCCTTAGGGCCTAGTTACACTTGGGTTTATTCACTGCGTCATTGCGTCTGTGGCTATATGCAGTTATTTTTTACATAGGTTTCGTATAGGCAGATAGAGATGAGGAAAAGGGGCGTTAAAGTGCATCAGGCTACAAAATTTTGATTTTTGCCTATGTTTACTCGATTATACTAGATGTTTACTCGATATTTGGCATATCGATATACTATCGTGGGGTACTGTCACCACTAATGACCGAAAACAACAACAACGAACTTTGGTAAAAAAAAGGCGGGAGGATTTTCCTTGACAAATCAAAAAAAGGAACAGCTGTTTAGACGCAATGAAGCACGTCTATCAAGTGTAACAGCCTATTCTACTTCATATCGTCTGTTTGTAGCTAAAATAAGTGGGCCGGCAACAAGGGACTGGGATCAACCCATCAAAATCAAAATGTCTTGCCATAAGTAATAGAAAGATAGTTGTTAATTTATTGCGACCACTGAGCTAAAATAACGCGCCACTTGAGTATGTTGAAACAGCTGTAAACTTAGGTTTCACATTCACAGAACTCTTACCTAGAGTGATCATATTACAAAGTCTGAAGGAAAAACATATGGCATAATAAGGACATTATCCGTTACTAAAAATTGCCTGCCCACTCATATAAGATTACTTATAGCTAAAACCTGCATTGTTCAAGCGCTATTTTATGGAATAGAATTTTTTAAAACTGTGACACACTGTTACAAACTGTGATTAGCAGGGTCACGTAAATTAAAGTGAAAATAGAAGGCGATTAGTTTTCAGTCATTGCTTCTAAACAAGCTAAACATAGATTCATGGCTTCAAACAATTAGATTCCACTTGCTTTTTGTTATACCCTCGCAGAGGTTGTTATAATTTCAGTCAGAATTTTGCAACGGAGTGAAGGAGATATTTCCGACCCTATAAAGTATAAATATTCCTGATCATCATCAATAGGAGAGTCGATCTAGTCGATGTTTTTAACAACATGCATATACAATCTTTACACAAGAAAGTAAAAAAAAAATAAAAAAAAAAACCTTTAGTCGAGTCACCGACTATAAGATACCCGTACAATTGAAAACAGTAGATATGATGTTTTTTTCTTTTTATAGTCGTTGTTTTGTAATCGTTGAAAATTATGTAACAGGTCGAAGAAAACGTTTCCGTCCCTATAATGTATATACATATATTTTTGATCAGGCTCAATAGCCGAGCGGATCTAGCCATGTCCGTCTGTATGAACGTCAAGATCTCAGAATATATAAGTTCATTAAGATATACACGCAGAAAAATAGTTGGAAATATACACCTGTGAATTGGATAATACAACTATTTTAAATAGGTGCTGGGGAGCGATCCAATTTGTTGGTTGGATTATCTAGTTTTCTTGGATCCACAGGAATTGGATATATTCACCAACTGAGAGAGTTCGACAAAACAAGCGCTTGTTTGCTTGATCCAATTTTTTGTATATGGTTGGTATTTAGTTGGTTCATAAAACCATCTACCAGTGATATTATATCTATTTTAATTGCTTAAAAAAATTTTCAATAAGTTCTTTATTTTCAAATAAATTGTAATTGAATGAATTTGACGACAAATAGCCTTTTTTCTAGTAGGAGTAACTCTTAAGGAATGGAGGCGATAATCGGAAGTCCTCCACCGCTCAGTAGCCTCAACCTCGGGTTCGAGGCATCGTCTTAACCACTCCAGGTCTTCCTTCACTTCACCCTGTTCATCTCTCTTTACTCCATCGTCATGAACAGTTGTTGGCTGTTAAGAGAAAAAAAATAAAAAAAGAAACTTTATAGAAATGGAAAGGGACATTTCTCATGACATACCTGTTCGGACTCTTTCGACCGTAATCCTGAAGCACGCAAATCTTTTATTATACAGGTATATTTATCATATAATTTACCCCTGGGCTGCTTCGCGCCTACCAAATTAGTTTTCGGCTGCCTTGGTACGTAGTACGTTGCCTAGAAAACAAAATAGAAAAATAAATTCAGGCATCAATTAATGAGCATGAGAGAACTTACCTTTAAAAAGAACAATCAAAAATTCTGCGTTCTCGGGATCCACATTTTCCAAAAACTCCAAACTTTTTTCATCCATCTCTTTTTGTAGAATTTTCTAGGAACTTAACACAAAAAAAGGGGCAATACCGGAACGAGCGAAGCGAGCGTGGCGAGCAGCCGAAAAGAACAGAAAAGAGTAGGGATGAAAAATGCAAAGCCAATGATAGTCGAGAGTTGATTGTCGATTATTGTAAAATAATCGATGTTATCGATTTTTGTAGGCTTAAAAATTGACAAAAATTGAACACTTTATTTGAATGATTAATTGCCGTTTGTTTTTATTTTCACGTATACGTGTTAAATAATCGTTTGTATGTACTTTTGTGATATTATTTTGGTATATTTAAGTATTGATGATGAATTTTCTCGAATTGAAAAAATTTATTTTCATAAAAAATTTAACTCTTAACCTATAAATTCAACAGAATTTTCGAGGATTGAATAAAGTCAGTCGAATACGATTTTCAACTACGATTAATCGAGTTCTTTTCTGCCTTTCAAAAAAGTTGACTCATTAATCGAAATTCGAATTCCAGTATAAGTCATCATTTCCAACAAAGTTGGCAGTCTTATCCAATTCAAAGCATATAAAAACCAATCGGAGGTATCATTTTTAAATTGCTAAAATAACCATCACCGTTATTTGATCTTTCATTTTAAATAGGTACAACATCCAATTTTTTCTCACCCAATAAAAATTGGATGCTCTTTCTAACCATTTTTCTGCGTGTACTAATAATTAACTTTTTAAGAATTACAGTTTAAATTTGATTAAAATCGGGCGACTAACACTGTGGACGGCCGTTCACGTTGTGGCGATGAGCACCGGAAAACGTGAGCAAGGAGACATCTATATATTGCCGCAATATTTGCGTTTGTGGATACTAAATTAAATTTTTGCAATAGTTGCAAGGGTATATGAACTTCGGCTTGACGAAGGTTGCTTCCATTCTTGTTTTTTAATTCTTTTTGACTTATTAATAATTTAATAGTTGAGAATTACGCTTTTTATTTTATTCAAATCGTTAACCTATATCACATAGCTGCCATAGGAACGATCGAATAATTGAGCTGCAAATCATCATTGCTTCAATGTTTTTAAACATATATAATTGTAATTAAACATATATAATCATAATTTAATTGTTTTAAAGAATATTTAATTTTTGCAAAAGCTGCTTCCTTTCTTGTTTAACATAAATAATGTTTCGTAATTAGTCTCCTCGTTTTACATTTGGTCCGATATGTTTAACACTGGGATATTTTGAGTTAATTTCGTTTCCATATCTGATAAAAGGAAATTCCAATTATGGAATCTGCTTATTGACTTATAATTCTATTAAAAATTTGATATTCTTAAGGAACGAATTTAGCATGTCTGGAGTATTTATTAATCCCAAAAATATTCAAAATATTTTAACTTACTCATTTTAAAGTTATACGTGTGTCTATATTAAAATTCTTTAAATTTTCAACAGGATGTACCTGGTGCGCTTATATACTGACTAAGCCAAAGAGGAGCGATCACAATGCCTGTAACTGATTGACTCAATGTGTCAGAATAATAATTTTGATAAATAGGATGCTCACATTGCGCAAACTATATAACAACTGTCCAATTCCACCTTAGCAAACGCTGACATCAACACGCGCACAAAACGCAAAAAGAGACTAAAGACCATGCCAAAATATCAGAAGCTTGATACCAACGTGCCGCCCACCGCCTTCGAAGACGACTGCGAAGAGGGCGTCGCGCTGTACGTTGATGATAATCAGACGGATCCGGGCCTCCAGCAGGAGCCAGCCAATCGAGCAGATCGCCTGTCAAACGTGTACGGAAAAAAACACAGCCTTAACAACAACGGCGTTAAGAGCTGTGTGGTAGTAACAAAGACGAAAACCGACCGGACTTCGGAGGAACAGTCTTGGGAGGTGCCCCTCCTGTGCAGTGATGACAACGCAGGCAAGGAGGTAAGTGCGCTTAATTGCGGGATACAAGTGCTCCGCGGGCCATTTATATGTAATAGACCTAAATATACACTCATATTTTTAAACACTTGCAGCACTCGGAACACGAGCGAATGGAATATGGTATGGAGCTAGAGTGCCGCAGCCGTCAGCCGGGATTCGGGGCCAATCGTAGGACCAAATCAGCACAGGAGGCAAAATCTAAGATTCTGCTCGCGGTGTCCCTGTGTTGCATCTTTATGGTGAGAAGTCGAACATCGCACTCTATATGTGTGGGCACGCATTGTTGATTAAATTATGATACATTTTATGCCCCGCGGCGCTATCACCGGCCATAACGGCAAACACAGATTATTGAGTTCCTTGGCGGCTACTTGGCCGGAAGCCTAGCCATTATGACGGATGCAGCCCATTTAGCTTCTGATTGCATTAGTTTCGTCATCGGCCTGGTCGCCATTTGGGTGGGCGGTCGACCCCCGGACGAGCGCATGTCCTTTGGTTACAAACGCTTCGGTGAGTAGCCAATTGTGTCTGTCATTATTTCGGGTCAATATGATGCATTATAGTTCATATTGAGTGTTCGCCCCCATTTATATCAGGCATTGAACCCGTCTGCCCACAGGCAGCTCCAATCGCTCACGTCCACCGCCTTGGCTATTTACTAACCACATTTTCTTGATTGTTTCGTTTTTAACCCTGGTTAACAGAGGTTATCGGCGCTCTGGCCTCTATACTGGGAATCTGGCTCCTGACCTCCTTGCTCGTCGTGGTGGCCATTCAGAGGATCTACTCTCAGGACTTTGAACTGAACGTCGATATGATGATGGTCATATCCGGCATTGGTATCGCCATTAATATTGTGTAAGTTATAAACATTTTTTGTGACTACGCGTTCTAATTAGGACAGACCTTAGATCTTCATTTAAGGCATTATTAAACCAAACACGAGGCATTATCAAACCAAACGAGGTTAAAAAGTCGTGACGATCGCACCCTCAACATACAAAATATATGATATCAATTCCTTAGCAAATATAACTCTCTGATCGGGAACCTTAAACATTCAGGCCTGCACTGCAGTGGTTTGAAAAAATAAGGGAAAGCACATTCTTTTCTGCACTTCGAACGCAATTGCTAAAAATGTAGGAAAGTTCTAGACTTGAAGCCAACTCTACGTAGAGCACAGATAACCGCACCTCATTCTAGGCTTCTTTTTAGTCGCTTTCGCTTTACTTGCGATGTGCACCAATTTGCGGATAACTACGCGTTTGGGGTGGAAAAATAGAAGCGCGATCGATTTACAGCGATATTTCGAAATAAACTTTTATTAATTAAGGTTTAAAAACTTTTCAATTTAGAATGGGTTGCGGATTACATTGCATTGACAAAGAAAGAGTTATATTATCAAGAAACTAAATGACGACGGCAAAACAATGAAATAAATTTCCGAATTAATTATGTGCTCAAATAAAAAACTGTTTTCGGCGATTAATGAATGAATTAGGGGAGATACGAGGTAGGAAGCAAGCCATATCCAAAAACAGCTTGTTAGCACATTAAAAAAAGGAACCATGCCTTACAGCAAAGAAACTCAAAAATAAATTAATGGCAACTGTAACTAGTCGAACAATAATAAACAGGGTGACTTAACGTAATTTAAAGGCACTTATAGCTAGAAAAGTTCCTCTTAAAATGGAGTATTCTGGTCTAAAAGCCTGAATTTAAGGCATTTTTGAAGTAAGATAAATTAGAAATGAAAACCATTTTGAATATACAATTTTGTATACGTCTTTTATTAACATTTTAAAAATACAAAGAACCAATATTCAAAATACAAAAAACCAATATTCTCCGAGATACAGGTCGATGAGGTGGAGTCTTCAAAAAAAACCGGTGCGTTCTGGTTGACATGAATTCAGCCCTTGTAGAGATCGGAAAAAAAATCAAACAAATTCTTCATTAGTATAAATGCCGTTATCGGGTTGACCATTAAAAAAAGTTAATATTAACAAAACGTCGTCGACTTGAAAACCAAAAATGTGTTTTTAGCCAATTTTGTCGATCTTTTCAAATATTTTAACATCTAAAGAAATACTTATTTTTTTAAAAACGAGATTAAGACCGCCAAAATTAGAAAAACTTCCTGTGGTTCGATGAAACTTAAACATATATATGTTTGGATCAGAAGGAAAAACATATGTAATACGCCCAAAAAACTCTGATTACGATTCTAAGCCCACCATTAAGACAGTTAAGCATGGAGGAGGGAACATCATGCTTTTGGGTCTTCTGGAGTTGGACCTTTATTCTGAATAAAAGAAAATTATGCTTTCAGAAGACTACCGCAGAATACTTGAAAACATAATGCTGCCAAAAAGTGAATGATATGGGGCCAGCTCAATTAAACCCTATTGAAAACTTATGGGGAGTACTTAAAAGAAAACATAGGTAACTTCAGGGCAAAAACAAGGAGAAATTGTGTCAGAAAGTGCAAGCCGAGTGGTATGCCATTAAACCCTAAATTTGTGCCAGCCTAGTCAATTCTATGAATCGCCGATGCTCTGCAGTGTTATATTCGAAAGTACTACTAAATATTGGTTAAATAGTGTTTTGTTTCTATTATTTTTGGCAAAGGTAAAAACTAAAATTTAATTTTTTAAGTTCTTACACAAATTGATATAACGGTTATTTAATATGAAAAATACTTTAGTATGTGTTAAAAAAAATTATTTAATAAATATCTGATTTATTTCAAATGAAATATTTGGAGACAACGAACCAAAACTGCGCGTAGTTATTATTTTTTCCATATTGTTTTTACCTTGACTCGGTCTTATCAGTAACGAATTGGACCGCAAGGAAGAAACGAAAAATTGTTAGTGTATACAACCAGAAAAAAGTAGTACGAATAATTTTAGTACGAACGTACTTGAAAATCGACCGAATATTACTTACAATTTTTAGGACGAACGCGTACAAAATAAGTACGGATCCTACTTGATAATAATATTTTAAAATGTTTATTCTTAATACACAGAGAAAACGATATTTTTCGCTTTAACCCTGCTTATAGTGTTTTGTAAATAATAGAATTATCAAAAATCTATTAAAAACTATTAAATTAAAACAAGAACATTTCGTTCAAATCCCAGACGAAGTAGTCAATTTATTATTTTTTTGGTTTTAAATTTTTTTTGTAAATGTTCTGCTTTTACTTAAATTTGTATCTAGTTGACCTCAAAAGTATAGCTAATAAAAGCTATTTGATTGCACACAAATTACTTTGAATTCTTTTACGGGCTTAGTACATAGTAAATTGTGATGACAGTGCGGCGCAACTGGCTAATGCGTCTACGAATTTCGAATCCGGTTGTTTCGATTTACAGTGAACAAAATAAGTTTGCTTTTCTCTTTCCTTTACTTATCAGTTTATCATTTTCCCTGTCATTCTAATTTCATATGAAATCAAAGAGAAAAGAAACTTAAACTAAATATCTTTTATACTTGCATAAAGAATTTTTCGTAGTCAAACCAATATCTTTCGCACTTTCTTCAATAACTTTTGAGGCGTTCATTAGAATTCGAATTTCCCTACTTTTGACACCGTTCGTACTTGATTTGACGCCGAATTCTGAATTGTTCTCCATGTGCGTGAGCACGGCTGGTAGATCTGGTGAACAATCGATGAAAACAACGATTGTCTCTCGAGAAATTCGCTTGTTATTTCTCACTATCGATGCTTTTCTTTGTCCAAAGGAACACCGATGGGTCCCAGCATCCTCCTGTGCCTCAGAAAGAACCCATAGTAAGGCATTTTTGAATGCTTAGACTTTTAAAAATATGATCCTTTAAATATTTTTAAAAATTCGTATTATATGGGAGATACAGCCCATTTCGTGACGTTGCGTACGAGCTTGTTTCCTTAACATTAAACGCGTTTTTCTCGAAACTACATTTTTGAGGTGGTTGACATGATATTTCAAGTTCTACTCGACCGATTCCTTCGAAATTTGGTATATATCTTGTTTATACTACTCTCTCTCGTGTCTGCATCGGATTTGAAAAAATGTTGATTATAAGTATTATTAAAATATTTAAAAAAATCGAAAAAATTGGTTAAAAAACATTTTTGTTTTAAAGTCGACGCCATTTTGTTATTTTTTAAGTGGTCAACCCGATATCTGCAAGTTTACTAATGAAGAATTTGATTGGTTTATTCCGATCGCTACAAGGGTTAAAATCATGCCAACCAGCACGCACCGTTTTTTTTTAAAGCCGCAATCCAACAATCCGGGATACAGGCCTGCCGGCGAATTTTGGTTTATATTAAAAATGTTCTTCGTATTTTTTGTATTTTACTTGAAACAAGAAAGGAAGCAAACTTCGGCAAGCCGAAGTTCATATACCCTTGCAGCTTTTTTAAAAACTAAATACTCTTAAAACGTTAAAATTATGATTAAGTAAATCGTGTATGTTTAAAAACATTGAAGCTATGATGATTTGCAGCTTAATTATTCGATAGTTCCTATGGGAGCTATATGCTATAGTCGTCCGATTTTGATGAAATTTAAACCGTAATTCTGAAATATTTAACCATTACTTTACAAGGTGAGTTCCAAAGTAAACAGGACTTTTTGAATCTAGCGCCATCTAGTGGCGACATCTATATGTGCGTTATGGTGCGTTAGAATCTGCTACCGTTTATCGATTCCAGTAAAAATTTAATGACATTTCATCTATTGGAAGCGAGGTTATTGCGTTTTAAGTGTCAGTATGTTTTTGCCATCGGTGCGAAAATGAGCTTCGAACAAAGAGCCAACATTAAATTTTGTTTTAAAATTGGTAAAACTTTTACCGAAACGTTTCAATTAATCAAACAAGTTTATGGCGATGATTTCCTATCCCATAGCAGAGTGCACGTGTGGTTGAACATGTGGGTCAACCAAAATCCGTGATCACCGAAAATTCCATCGAAATTGTGCGTGAATTCATCAAAAAATCATCCGAAATCATTATTGAAGTTAATGAATATAGTATTGAACACTCCAAAACATCGATTTATCGCAGAACATTTGGGCTTACAAAAGGTGTGTGCATGGTTTGTTTCGCACAAATTGACTGACGTCCAAAAATTGCTCAGAATTCAACATTCCAAGGACATCAATAAAGATGCAAAAAAAGACCCGAACTTCCTTTACAAGATTGTGACTAATCACTAAACATGAAAGAATATGTTCCACCCGGCCAAAACGTTAATGCGGTATTCTACCTTGCAGTTTTGGTGCTCCGTATTCGACGTGTTCGGCCCGAATATCGCGAGGATAGAAGTTGGCGTTTGTTGCACGATAATGCGCCGTCTCATCGATCGAAGCTTGTGTCCGACTATTTGACCAAAAATCACATTTTAACCATCAACCACTCCCCGTATTCACCTGATATGGCACCGTGCAACTTCTACCTTTTCGGAAAAATGCATTTGCCGATGAAAGGAAAACGTTTTGCAGACGTAGAGGCCATTCAAAATGCTTGCACCGGTATACTGGCGGCCATACCGGGCGACGAGCTAAAACACTCGTTCGACATGCTTTTAGACCGTGTAAAACGCTGTATTAAAGCAGAAGGAGACTATTTTGAATAAAATAAATTGATTTTGCCGAAAAAACTATTCTTTTATGGGAGCTATATGATAAAGTTGTCCGATCCGGCTTATGTACTACCTGCAATAGAAATACTTTTGGGAAGTTTCATGCAGGTAGCTTAAAATCTGAGAGACTAGTTTGCGTAGAAACGGACGGACAGACATACATGGCTAGATCGACTCTACTAGTGATAGGGTCGGAAATGTCTTCTTCACTGGTTTGCAAACTTCTGACTGAAATTATAATACCCTCTGCAAGGGTATAAAAAGAATCACACAACTCGAAGTGAACTCGGAACCTCAAAACCTTGGGTGTGTTAGCTTCCTGCTTCGGACATCTCAGACCGTTCGACCACCGATTTTGAGTACACTTTGCCCCACTATTAGAACGTTTTTTCTCAAATTCAGAATAGTCTTTAAGTATTCTTTCTTAAAATGAGTACAAATATTCTTAATGTGAGTTCATGGGTGAAATCTGTACTCAAAATGAGCATATCCTCAAGTTGAGAATTCAAATTCTCAATTTCTGAACGTCAAAATTTTCTCTGTGTAGTGTTGTTAATGCAGTTCGATTTGTTTTGAACTGAAATTTTGTTAGCTAAGTATCCGGTATCTAATAGTTGGAAAACTCGACTAAAGCTTTCTTTCTATTTTTTTTTGAAAATTAAATAATTGTAGAATTAAATTTCTGTGTACCCAACAGAATGGTGTTTGTTTTGCATGGCTCCTGGTTCGTGGGAAATGGACACGGCCACAGTCACGATCATAGTCACAGACCCAGTCACGGTCCCTCGCACACCCAATCACTTACTGAGGCTGATAGTGAGAGCTTTCTGATGACGGAGGCAGCTGTACCATTGAAGACGACTGATAAGTCTACAAACGGGTAGGTGTTAATACAGACAAACCCAAACATGGACTACAATTGTTGATTCAATACATACCTGTTATTTGAATTAACAAACTAATTTTTGACTTGCGGTTGTCGAAATAAATTTGATTTGATAATTTGGTATTAACATTTTCTGCTGACTGCTCTCCTTCTCTCTCTCTCTGCAGGGCGACATCCTCGCAACTAACTCACGAAGAGAAAAATTTAAACTTGCGAGCAGCTATGATTCATGTGATTGGGGACTTGGTTCAGAGCGTTGGCGTTTTTTTGGCCGCCGTCCTTATCAAAATTTACGTGAGTTTTTTCTGTGGACATACCAATAAATTTATTCTCGTGCGCAAACATGACTTTTAAAAATCTGCTCATAAAAGGAATCCGTTTTAGTCAACTTCTGACAAAATCAGCGGTTGCTACATCCACCATGACATGTTGGCACTTCGTTAGCATAAGTCATTATTGCGGCCAATCTTTACGCTCTGCCAAAAAAACACTTTTCAACAGCCAAAAAAAAATAAATTTTAAGCCGTCGAAAAGTGATCAACATTGTATCATTGTAGTACATTTTTCTCAGTTGTTTGGGTTTTACTGTTAATTTTTTAATGCGGCAAATACTCTACTCTGCCAACTTCAACCTCAAAAGATTAACCGATTTTTGGCAAGACATCATCGATGTTTCCATCTCTACCGAGAAAATGGTCAAAAAAACACCCCTGTTCTTGGCTGACACTGCGTTGTTGGGCTCATTCATTGATGGATTTATTGAAGTTCAGAAAGACACAACTATATGGAGATTGCTGAAATTTTTGTTGGTAATAAGTCCACGGTCACACTGGCTTTTAACTGTTAAATTCTTCTGTATGCAAGAATTTTAAGGCATATCGTAAATTACTCACGGAATTTACTCGGAGCTATTGTGATTGGTTACTGATTAATTTTATAGAATTAGGATAACGATATCGTTCGTTGAATATACTTATATAAAGTATATAAACTTGCCGCACTTTACTTTTTTTCTCGTCATTTAAAAAAAAGGCCAATAAGTGAAATTGTACCATTACAACGTAGTTTTTATTGTATAACCTATAAGGTCCATGCTTTATCATAGACCCCTACTCTGCCGTCTGGAAATCTGGTTTTTAATAAAGTTTAAGTGGTGCTTATGGACAGTCGTAAAACCAAAAACCTAAAGGTGCTACAAAAAAATAGTCAGCTGTTTATTAAACGCACGCATTCGGATCTGCAGCCTTGTCAGTGTGCTGTACATGGAATGTAAGCTCTCGATCTCTCGGACCAATCCGGAATTACTTGCAGCTGGCCAAGTGGGCAGTGAGGCGCTGGGGGGTTCTGTAGGCCACGCAGGACAGGTCCAGGTTTCCCCAGTTGGAGCCACTGGCGGTGGCCTCTGGCGTCAAGGAGCGCAGGGGAGTGCCTGCCTGTTGGCTGTGCAGCTGGCGAAGGAGACACGCCGGGCTTCTTAGACTCGCGCTCCTTACTTGTATAAGTTTCCTTTTTCCCTGGCTCAGGCATCCTGGCTGGCAGCCGGCGTTGCGAGCGAAGGGAACGCCGAGTAGAAGCAGCGGCGTTGGAGGAGGATAGATATGACCTAGAGTCGATCTAGCCATGTCCATTGGTCCGTTTCAACGCAAACTAGTCTCTCATTTTGAAAGTTATTTGCATGAAACTTTCCCAAAAGTATTCTTACACCCAGAAAAAAAAAGTCCTAAAAAGTGAGAAAATTACCTAATATTTCAAGACAGATATCACTTAAAGTTAAAGAAAAAAGAGGCTTTATTCAAACTTACATTTGAGTTTGTTTTATTTTTATAAATTTTTATTGTTTTCTTTAAAAAGTTGTTTGGGAACTTTTTCCTTGAGGTGTTTCCCCGTTAATAATAGGAAGGATCATCAATTCCATGTTCTATTGTAAACAAAATAATTTAATTGGTTATAACTTTTTTATATTCATTTTAATCGTACCTTCAAAACAACTTTAAGCATCTCGCGCTGCCGTTCCTTAAAAATATTTTCTATATCTACAATTAAATAAAATTCCTTTATTTATTTCCACGAATTAAACTTCTGCGCAATTTAAACTGCGCGCCTTACCGGTAACATAAATACACACTTACATACATATCCACTTGCGCATTTATATACGTTTTAATAAACTTTTTTCTTACAATTCTTAAATTCTTACAATTTAAAAGCCAGCATTGCGCATTAAAAAGGGTTTATGTTAAAACTATGATATTTCGCATAAATTACTTGCATATTTATTTTGCTTCATAACGTTTCACTTGCACTTCCACTGAAACTTTACTCTGTAAGGTATATGTATGTAAGTGATGCCATGTCACCGATTATAAGGCGATAACGATAGCATTATATTTTCCGTCAATTGGTTTTCTCTATCGATATTTCGTCCACCTCTAGCATACACCTTACAGTACAACATTTAAGCGAAATTAAACTTAAAATAATTCCTTAAATTATAAACTGTATAACAATAAGCAACTAATTTATACATTGTTATTGTTCACCAACCAAAATTTTATCGAAATAATCACTGAAATGGTTTGAAAATTAATGTTGTGTAAAACTCGAGGTCATAGTTGGTTTTAAATCATTATAACACAACTTTTTGACAACTTTCATCACACGAGACATTTCCTATAAAGTATATATATTCTTGATCAGCCTTACTAGGAGAGTCGATCTAGCCATGTCCGTCTTTAGTTCTTCGACATATAGCAATGGTTAAATATTTCAGAATTATGGTTTAATTTCATCAAAATCGGACGACTATATCATATAGCTCCCATAGAAACAATCGGAAAAAAATACAAATAAAATTATAACTTTGCTGTTTTTAAATTTTTTTTATTAGTTCTTCGAGATATAGTAATGGTTAAATATTTCGGAACTACGGTTTAAATTTCATCAAAATCGGACGACTATATCATATAGCTCCCATAGAAACAATCGGAAAAAAATACAAATAAAATTACAACTTTGCTCTTTTTAAATTTTTTTTTAGTTCTTCGAGATATAGTAATGGTTAAATATTTCAGAATTATGGTTTAATTTCATCAAAATCGGACGACTATATCATATAGCTCCCATAGAAACAATCGGAAAAAAATACAAAAAAAATTATAACTTCGCTGTTTTTAAATTTTTCTATTAGTTCTTCGACATAAATGGTTAACTATTTCAGAATTACGGTTTATAATTCATCAAAATCGGAGGATTTTTTGTTAAAACTTAACTTTTTTGTAAAAAGAAAAATTTTAATTCTTTTTGTCTTATTGTTAATTAATTTGACAGTTCAAAATTACGCTTTAAATTTTATTAAAATCGGAAAACGATATCATATAGCTGCCACAGGAACTATCGAATAATTAAGCTGCAAATCATCATAGCTTCAATGTTTTTATTGCTGCAAGGGTATATAAACTTCGGCTTGCCAAAGTTGGCTTCCTTTCTTGTTTTAATTTTCATTACTTTTTTGAACAATTATGAAAACACCGGTTATGCATTTTCTCAACTTCAGAAAACAAGTAATATTTTCCAAATTTGCTATACAGTTATAACAAAAAAGGTTTATGTTGCCTATAAAATAATTTAAAAATATAAAACTAAGCGTTTTTTAATTTTATTGAATTAATCCGAAATTTGTCTTCATTTCAAATAAGGGTTGATTTCAATGAAATAAACTGAAAAATGGTCCGGAATTTATTTGCTTTTAACTATAAATAGTCTGTGTGGTCGGCCGTTAACGTTGTGACGATAAGCACCGGAAAGCGTGCTCGAGCCGCAATATTCGAAATCAGCAAAGAATAGTCCGATCTTAATAAATGAAATGGTATCGCTTTTAAAAAAGTTTGTGTATACTAAGAGCTTTAGAAAGTCTTTTGGTTTGCGGCTTTGCGGCTATAAAAAAATAAATTTCACACGCCTACAACTTTCAAACGACTAAGGCTAAGGATGCTTGCTTTACATTTTAAGGACTGTTTACGTTTCCTTGACATAATTTCTTCAAGGAAAATAATTAGAGAATTATAGCCAAAATTAGGTTTTTACTTTTACGGGTATGAAACTACATTGTTCGCCTCATTTATTGATGGGGTTATGACACTACATTGTTGGCCTCATTTATTGCTAATTTTTTGTTTTAACAATACGATTTTACGTAAGTGCGAGCAAGACAGCCTATGACGATTCCAATGATTGAGGAAAGTTGTCAGAACCGATACCCGATAGTAAAATATATAAACCTGATTTTGGCATAAAAATACTATTCGTTGAAATACCCCTGGTCCGATACATCAATGAGCAATATTTTATTTAAAAAGTACAATTTTGCTCATTTATTGGATTTGACGACAAAACGAAATGAAAAAGCGAGGCTTAATTGTATACTAAATATTTTTTACCATTAAAATGTAACAACTGAAAACCTTTAAAAGTTCAAATTAGCGGGATAAAAACAATATAATAAAAAAACCATAAAGTTTGGATTTAACGTTAAAAAGGCAGTGTGACCGTCATTTTATATCCAAAAAAATCTCAAGCAGTATCCATATAGTTGCCTTTAATGAATGAGGCAAACAATGTAATGTCAAAACCGTGTCATTTTATTATTGACACCCGCAACGTTAGTTTTAAATGAAACTGAGCTGTACAGTTTTCATGTATTGTCAGAACTGTGTGCTATGGTTTTTTCAATAGCCAAATATAAGGGACTATTCATGGTCGTGATTTTGAGGTACTCTTTTATTGTAACTATGTTTTGGAGCTTTGCAGTAATAAGACTGTAGTTTCAAACCAAAACTTCTGATATCAAACAAAAAAACCTCTTGACAAGGTAAAATGAACGTGAAGTAACTTCAACTCTTAAAACGTCTGAAATCAGACTTTCTAATGAGTAGTATTTGTTTTACCTCGTCAAGAGGTGATGTTTATCTAATAAAATAATCAACCACTATATGAACTGGATAAGTAAAATAACAACAACAAAATTGACCGTAACTTTTCGTCGAGATTTTGGAAACTATAATATGAGATTGGATTTAAAATGTAGATTTAAGTTATACCCTCACAGCGTAAATGAGGCCACGCCCACTTTATGTCCCAAAAATCGCGAATGTCTGTCACGGCATTCTGAGACATGGTAGAGGTCAGTCAGATATATATCGATATATATCGACTTATACAAAATTTTCCAAATTATGCCATTATTTTTGAAGTTATGACCATTAATGTAAATTTTCCAAATTGTAAACCCAATCATTTTGAGGGATATGTTTATTCTATTGAAATTGTATAGCTGCGTAACGGGTATTTAATAGTCGGGGCATTCTACTATAGCGTTCCTGATTATTTAAATTAGTGATTTGTTCATTTCCAGCCAAGTGCCAAATATGCGGATCCGCTGTGCACGGTACTCTTCTCTATAATTGTAATAATAACGACGGTGCAGCTTTTTCGAGAGTCTTTGGCCATCCTCCTTAATGCAGTGCCACTAAACCTTAGCTTGCGCGCCCTGCATTGCGAGCTGGCCAGCCTCGATGGGGTCAGGTGAGTGGACCTACATTGGACCTGTGAAAACAAAACCCTCTTTTTTGAATACTGATTTTTGTTCGTAGATCTGTACACCACCTTAACGTGTGGCAACACACCACCCAGCAACGTGTGATGATGGTGCATCTCGTCACAGGTAAGTTTCTAAAACATATCGAGTTCCTTCTTAACCCTTAAACTCTTTTATGCGTTGCAGATTCTCGATCTGACAGAAATGAGATACTTCAGGCGGCCACAAAGCTTGTTTCCGGCCCGAGATACAACGTGATGCATTCCACCATTCAATTAGAACAAGCTTCTGCGTAGCCCTAATAAGCAATAAACCTACCCAAAAATTTATTATAAGCTTCTAAATTCTGACCTACCAAAGGCATCGAAGGCTTCTTGTGATTTTAGCCACTCATGTATTTTTTACTTTATCCATGTCATCAAGTTAGCTTATTTATTGCCTCTGCTTAATGACAACTACTTTGGAAATTATATTTAGAAATTTCAGTCATGTTAGGCCAAAGAAAATATATTTTAAGTTATATTAATATAACCCAACATTTTTTTATATATACAATGCATATAAATACATTTGGAAAAATATATACATACACAGAAAACTCTTTTAACTTAATACGGTTGGAATATATAATATAACGCGCTGAGTTTATTAAAATGGGAAAAAAAAATATTTTTAATATTAAGTTTAATGCGTTTTCATTAAGTTTTGTGACTTATGAGTGCAAAATGGTTCAAAATGTTCAACGGTGGTCGAGAAAACGGTAAATACGTTTACCATCAAAATCAACTGACGACATAATCATAACGTCGAAATCCGTTGATGATCACGAAAAACATCTTCGGGAATTTTTTTAAAATCCTTCAAAACAATGGCCTTAGCACCAGTCTGAGCAAATGTCAGCTTGCACAATCGCAAACATGGCATTAAACCACCACCCTAACATATAGATGCCTTCCTCAATTATACACGTCCTGATCCTATCAACCAACTGGTTCATTTTTTGGGCGTCATAAACTACTATCAAAGATGTTAAGCCCGATCATACAAGCACCACTGTCTGAACTGCTATGAGACGTTAAAAAGAACGACCAACGTAAAATGATCACTGGAGCTCATCACAGCTTTCGAAGCTTGCAAAAAAAGTATAGCAAACGCAGCGCTTTTCTCTTTTCCTGTAGAAAAATCTAAACTTCAGTTGGTTTGTGATGCCTCGGTTTCCGCGGGTGGTGCCGTTTTAGAACAACGCGCAGGCAAAGAGTGGCAACCGCTGGGATTTTTCTCCAATAGTAAGCTAGCACTGAGAAAAATTACTCTACCTGCGATCGAGAACTGCTTGCCATATTCGAGGCCATCAAATACTTTAAACAACTAATCGATGGACGAATCTTTTTTTTATTGAAACTGAACATAAACTGCTTGTTTATGCATTTCAGCAGCGACCAAAAAAAAAACATATCCCAGTCAAATAAGACACTTAAGTTATATTTCACAATTCTCTTCGACTATTCTTTACGTAAATTTCTGAGAATACAATTGCAGATGCTTTTTCGAAACTGTGTTCAATAACAATGCCAACAGCAATCAGTTTATCTCAGGAACCGTTCGCCCCTAAGTTTGTCTCATCCGAGTGTCAGAGTAACAGTCCGTCAAGTACGACTGAAGTTTGTGTGGACATCGATGAATAAAGACGTCCTTGAAAGGTGTAGAACTTGCCTTCCTTGTCAGCGCTCAAAAATTCACAAGCCCAGCCATATCTCTCCAATAAAGATCAGTGTTCCAAACGGAAGATTTGGCCATGTCCACCTGGATATTGTTGTGATGCCATTGCAAGAGAACTCTCGTTACTGTTTCACAATGATTGAGTGATTCTCGCGATGAGCAGAAGCGGTACCACTCTCAAACATTACCGGTATTTTGATGGCCACTGCGTTCTGGACTCCAAGGGTTCTCGATTTGGATCTCCCAACCGCTTACCACAGATCAATTTACTCAATTTGAATCTGAATTTTGCAAGCAACTTACCATCCACAGTTAAGCAAACTCATAGAAAGGTGTCACAGATCTTTTAAATCGTCCTTATTGGGTAACAGTGTAGCTCCTTGGCCACGGTTACTACCAACGGTGCTGCTTGGACTTGTCGCAGCAGAGATGTTGTATGGAACACCCATTCGACTGCCAAACAAATTTTTTGCTGATTTGGACGAAACAGTAGACCCTACAATTTTCTTAAGTATTTTTCGAGAACACATGCAGAAAATTCGTCCAACACAATCAGCGCATCATTCAAACAAAAGATGTTTTTATTAAAAGGAATTCATAGTTGTACTCACGTTATCATACGTACTGACGCCGTTAAGCAGCCTCTGGAATCCCACTACACAGGCCCCTAAGAAATTACCAGACGGGAAAACGACCGAGTTTTCACTATTCAAAATAACGGAAAAGAGATTTTAGTATCAGTTGACCGCCTCAAGTCTGCGTTTTTCGCTAAAGATGACCATTCAGAAGAAGTTATTCACAGTTGCTAGTACTTGGAGTACTTTGGCAGCCCGACATATTTGGCAACGCCATCATTGTGAGTAATGAGCTACCAAATTGTCTAAATTGAATTTAAGTTCTCTTTGAATTTTCTGAAGAAAATAATTGACATGGCAAAATAACTAGCCAATAAATATGCCATGTGGCGCCATCTGCAGAACAGCAGGTTCCACACTACAAGATAATAGCGGGGTTGCTCCCGCTTACAGTTCTTCCGCTCTCTTCCGCTTTTTATACCCTTGCAGAGGGTATTATAATTTCAGTCAGAAGTTTGCAACGCAGTGAAGGAGACATTTCCGACCCTATAAAGTATATATATTCTTGATCAGCATCACTAGCAGAGTCGATCAAGCCTTGTCCGTCCGTCTGTCCGTCCGTTTCCACGCAAACTAGTCTCTCAGTTTAAAAGCTATCTGCATGAAACTTTCCCAAAAGTTGTCTTACTATTGCATGTAGTATATAAGCCAGATCGGACGACTAGAGCATAAAGCTCCCATAGAAACAATCGAAAAAAAAATAAAAAAAAATTATAACTTTGCTGTTTTTTAATTTTTTTTTTTTTTTTTCTTCGACATATAGTAATGGTTAAATATTTTCGATTTACGGTTTAAATTTCATCAAAATCGGACGACTATATCATATAGCTCCCATTACATACTAACTATCGGAATAATAAATTTAAAAAATTATAACTTTTTTAATTTTTTTTTTAGTTCTTCGACATATAGTAATGGTTAAAAATTTCAGAACTACGGTTTAAATTTCATCAAAATAACTTTAAAAAATGTAACTTTTCTATTTTGTAATTTTTTTTAATCCTTTTTGACTTATTAATAATTTGACAGTTCAGAATTACGATTTTAATTTTATCAAAAGCGGAAAACGATATCATACAGCTACCATAGGAACTATCGAATAATTGAGCTGCAAATCATCATAGCTTCAATGTTTTTAAACATATACGCAAGTTAATCATTAGTTTAATGTTTTCAAGAATATTTAATTTTTGCAGTAGCTGCCAGGGTATGAACTTCGGCTTGCCGAAGTATGCTTCCTTTCTTGCTTACCTTATTATGCGCATAGTAAATTTTAAAAATCTTGGATTTGATTCAAATGTGCGAAAATAGTTAAACACGTTATATTTAAATATGCCGCTTAAAAAACATAATAACTATTTCCATATTTAATTTGACTTTGATTTTTAAATAATAAAAAAGCCTTTATTAGGTTTAACATATTTCTGTTCAACCTAAATTGTATCCTAAATTTAATTTTAATAAAGATCGTATTTCAAATAAATATGGCACATTGTTTATTTTTATACGTTCTACTTGAAAAAAAAACTTAAAACCAATCATTTAAAAATTTTCAAGATCCATGATCCTTATTACAAGTAATTAGGTTAAAGTGTGCGACAAGACCGATTTCCTAAAAAATAACGGTAAAAACCGTTTTCTATTCTTTTTTTTGGCAATTTCATTCAAAATATTGGGCCCAACTGCAACATTACATAGATACACTGAGAAAAAACCGTTATAAACAGTCTCGATTTGCCGAAAATACCAAAATCAAACAGAAGTTTTTGCTGAGTTTGAGAATAAGTATTCTCGGCTTCGATAACGAGTAATTCTTTAATATTTGAAATATCGATAACAACTAATAAAAATGAGTACACACTGTTTTTGTGAGGGTCAGAAATTGTAAAATTCAGCAGTCGCAGTCCTGTGAAAAATTGAAACGCGTTTAAGTTGAATAAAGAAGTACAATGTTGAACTTTGAAATTATTAGTTTTTAATGGAATTTGTCGCCGTCACGTCGTTTTATATATAAAAGTATAAGTATACTTATATGCTCCACCGTAGTATAAGTATAAGTATGGATATAAAAATGTGAGGAGGACTAACTTGTACTTTGTATACTCTGCCGCTCCACAAGTAGAGTAAAAGGGTATATTATATTCGTTGAAAAGTATGTGACAGGTAGAAAGAAGCGTATCCGACAATATAAAGTATATATATTTTTAATCAGGATCAATAGCCGAATCGATCTAGACATGTCCGTCTGTCTGTCCGTCTGTATGAACGTCGAGATCTCGGAAACTATTAAAGCTAGAAATTTGCGACTTGGCATGCAAAATTCTGATTTTTATCTACGCAGCGCAAGTTTATTTAAAACAGAGCCACGCCCACTCTAACGCCCACAAATTGTGAAAGTATGTACTATCACTCTGAGACATTTTAAAAGGTTGGGGTTGTTGTCGTGTATTCGTTTCGGTCATGTCTATCGGTAGACCCCAGAAATTTTCAAAATCGAGCTATTATTATAAAAGTTATGGGGCTTATGAAGTTCTCTGCCGCCCCTCTGCCGCTGCTTAGCCACTGATCGGCCACTGTTCTACCGCTGCTAACAGATGGTAGAAAGAGAAAGAGAGAGAATTACAAAACTGTTAGTGGGGGGTAAGGCTGCTGCACGCTCTTAGCTTCTAGTGTTGGTTAAAAAGTTCGACAGATGGCGCTAAGATTGTGTTGTAGGGGAAATAATTAGGTTGAAGCAACATATGTTGTATGGTTAGTGGTTGAAGTTTTTTGGGTGAGTAACGGGTATTGACTATAGCGTTCTTTCTTGTTAAACTTAAATACTCTGCCGTTACATAAGTATAAGTGTATGGACATAAATGAACAACTTTGAAACTTTGGACTTGACGAAAGAAGAAGGGTGATAAAGGCCAAAGATCGAGAGGAATTTTGTCACATTTACAACGCCACGCCGCCCTTGATCTTGTGTAACTGCCGATGAACAAGTAGAACATCGCCGCAGTCGTTTTTATACTTACGTAATCTGACGTTGTACAAGTATTAGAACACGGATCGGATTTTAAAGAAAAAAGAAAGGAAGCAAACTTCGGCAAGCGGATTTCATATACCCAAAAAATTAAATACTCTTAAAAACACTAAAATTGAAGCTATGATGATTTGCAGCTCGATTATTCGGTAGTTTCCGA